TTTTTTTTTTTTTTTTTTGAGATGGAGTCTCCCTCTGTCGCCCAGGCTGGAGTGCAATGGCGCGATCTTTGGCTCACTGCAACTTCTGCTTTCTGGATTCAAGCAATTCTTCTGCCTCAGCCTCCCCAAGTAGCTGGGACTACAGGCATGTGCCACCACATGCAGCTAATTTTCTTTTTGTATTTTTAGTAGAGACGAGGTTTCACCATGTTGGCCAGGCTGGTCTCGAACTCTTGACCTCAGGTGATCTGCCCACCTTGGCCTCCAAAGTGTTGGCATTACATGCGTGAGCCACCACGCCCGGCCCATAGTTCTATTATGGTTAAGCCTATTTTAAAACAGAATTATAAATAAGTAAAATATGAAAATCATAGTAAAGTACCTGATGTTAATAATATTTTGCAGAAATAAAGATATAAAATTCCTATGAAATATTTTCTTCAGTCATTGACAATTACAGAATCCTTTTAATCACAAGAGTAATGCTTTATTAAAGAAGAAACTTATCCTTAGTTGGGTGGGCTTTAATTAAGGCCAAAATCTATGAGTAAGTGAAAGTTGGCATTAGACTAAAACTAATTTGGTGCTTTTAAAATAAAGTGATGTGCTAAAGCAATCGAGTTAATTTTTCCTTTGAAACAGTATTTAGTATTTAAGGTTCGTCTCTGTCCCCCAATTAGGGATCATCCCATTTTGGTATCCTTTCTTGTGCCATTTGTTTATCCACATCTGTATCTACATACAGCCATATTATATTTTCACATGTACTATATATGCTTATATTTATTTATTTAAATAAGACAGGGCCACAAGGCTGGAGGAGGACCTTGGGAGTCCTTCAGTCCATCTCTCTGGCCACAAGAGATTGACCTTAGGTCAGGCTCAATCACAGTCTTCGATAGCCAAAAACTATAATGGTCAAAATTAAAGCACACATGGTAGCTACATTTGAAAAATCTACATGGTTAATAACCAAACTTAGAAGTCTTTTTTCTCTTTTCCATCCCATAAAAGTTTCTGAAAGAGAAATGACAATGCTATCAGATAAATAACATGCAAAGAGCAGTTAAGTCAAACAGGAATAAGCAAAAGCACATATATTTCCATTATTGATAAGGAACATACATATCCTGCTCATGCCTTCATTCCACACGTCAAGCTGTCACCTTTGCAAAACAAAGAGCCACACTTAAAAACCCCACAACAGAAGAAAGTGATTAGCATGTGTGTAAGGCTCACTTTATATATTCAATTTGGCCATGAAAAGGAGCATTGAAACAAATTAAAGTAGAAAAAGGCTAGGGCAGCACTTTTCTACTTGAAGGTTACATTGAACAGTCCTTTCCAATAAATATTCTCTTTGATTAGCTGTTTAGTAGTCTACAGGGTCTAGCCATGTCTGCTGTGAGCCTGAAGAGGATCCTGTATCAGCCACAGCTTAGTATTGTGCAGCAGCTTCTCCGTCCTTGTAGGCAAACTCAATCTTTTTCACCCCTTTCTAGAACTGAAAGTTTCTTTTGTAGTCAACAGAAAATTTATTCGCACCCAAGAAACGAGGACCACCTATTGCCTGACCTCCACATGGGATGACTGCAAAAGAAGCCAGTTCCCAGAGTTCCTTCCATGTTGTCAGGGTGATAACAAGAAACAAAACACCTTAAGTAAAAATGCTGATACCATGACTTTTTATCCATGGAAGCGACTCTCCCCAACTAACAACTTACAGAGAGGTCTGACTGCCAAGCCTCTAGGTGAATTCACTACTTTTCTTCACGGAAATTTAGAAAATCTCCCAACCCCTCAACGTACAAAAATATTTTATCCTTGAACCTTAATGAGCAAAGGCTCCAAATTTCTAGCTATCATCCTATGGCCTCACACTAGTTAGAAAAAATGCCTTTTTTCTTCATTAGCATATATGCAAAGAGTAAACTGGTATGAGCTGGCACTCAGATGGGTTTTCATCAGTAACATTTGGCGAGTGGTATTTCTTAGGATCATGCAGTACCATGAGGTTCGTGCAGCTACAGTCTTCTAGGATCCTGACCAGGGCCAAGGAGGGTCTAGAATTTCACCAGAAAGCTTTGGCAAAGCTCACGATCAAGGTTTGCCCTTCATCTGCTCCACAAATGAAATCCGAACTACTGCAATGGGTCCAAGAAGGAAGGGGGCTGCCTGCTTTTGTACTTTGCTGCCTGCTTCCTTGAGAATTCTAGAACTTTTTTCTCCCCTCTCCTTGGAGCCTAAAAGCCCCTACCAAACCCTTTAGTTTACTACATATGTACTTTTTACTAACATTAACAAGAAAAAAAAAAAAAAAAAAAACTCATATATATGAACCGCAAGTTTGCAGAAGCAGAAAGAAATTTCCAATGAATACAGTTAACAACCAGGTGCGGT